CTGGTTTTAAACAGTTGCTTCAATTTTATGCTTGATCCTTAATTTCTTTTATAACACTTAAATAACCTCTTCAGTACATCCTCCCCCCAATAAAAACTGAAATACTGTTTGAATCTTTGCATCCATTTGTGTGCAGTCATTTATTGCATTGTTGGTAAAAGGATAATATTATAAGAAATTTTTTTTGTGAATCTTTGATATTTAGAATGGATACTGCCAAGGCAGTTATAATGCATTACTATTTCTGTCTTTTTCCGTGTTATCATCCTGAAACTGAAAGTTTTTCTATACCAGGCTCATTAATTCATGAAGTTCACTGCAGGTTGAACACAAGGAGGCACTGATTACAGAAGAACTAAGCATTTCAAATTTGATTGTTAAAAAAAAGGAAGGTTTTAGCTAAAACATTACCATAGATGTTTTTTTTTTATTGTTTGGACAACAACCACGGCACCTGAACTGTGGAAGTGGCAATGCCTGCCATGTTGGAGGGGCTTGAGCTCCTTAGATAAATGAGTCCAGCTCTAGTTTAAAGTGATTTTATTTAAGTAAAAACTTTATAACAATCATAAACCAGAATCTAAATGGAGTATTTTAATATAAATAAATAAAAAAAAAGATAAATCTATAGCAACTGTTAAATAATTATCCTTCTATTTCTTGAATAAGCACCAAACTTGAAGAGACCTTTCATGGAAACTAACAACGCCAAACAAGTTGTTAAAAGTTTGCACTCCCATAAAGTAAGACGTTACATTTACAGTGCAAGTTAAACCAACAGGTCATACATTGATAGCAAAACTATACAGTCTTGTAAAATTCTGGACGAGCCTATTTTAATGATCCCTGGGTTAATCACAGATGTGTTGGTGAAGCTTTTACTAAAGATGTTTCCATTCATTATTCCCTCCTTTAATTGTTTGACAGAACTGTCAAATATGTGTTAAGATCAATCAAAATTGTATTACAAACAGCATTAGAAACTAAGTCATAATAGTTTTACACCAATCAATGTATCCCATTTTTTAATGGAGTATTTTTATTCTGGATGGCCAACAGACACCCAAAGGGAAAGACTTTCATCAGCATGCAGCTGCACAACTTAGAAAAAACTAAATAAAGAACAAATTATTTTCATTTTTAAGGATATTTGGGCACTCTGCATGGATATTTATGTTCCTGTGCAGCAGATTGCCCCTCTGCAAGGTGTGTTTTTCAGCATAGAGTGAGCAGCATGTCTGAAGTGGCGGCAGCTCCACTGCTCCATCTGTGTCTACACAGGTGGTGTGTAGATATGATCTCAAAACTAAAGGTTAGCTTCATTTAGCTTAATTTTTAAAGCACATTTTAAGTCCTTGAAAAAGAATCTGATTAGTCAGTCACTTCATTTGGATCGGATTAAACTGATTTCAGATAATAAAGTAAAACATCTTGGTGTTATTTTTGATCAGGACCTGTCATTTATGTATATCAAAGAGGTTTCAAGAATTTCGTTCTTTCATCTACGCAATATTGCAAAAATTAAAAATATCCTGTCCAGGGGTAATGCTGAGAAACTAGTCCATGCATTTGTTACTTCAAGGCTGGATTATTAAATTCTTTACTATCAAGAGGTCCATAAACCATCCTAGCTTCCCTTCATTGGCTTCCTGTTAAATCCAGAATAGAATTTAAAATCCTCCTTCTCACATATAGAGCCATAAATGGCCAGGCTCCATCTTATGTCAGAGATATGATTGTTCCCTATGTTCCTAACAGAGCACTTCCCTCTCAATCTGCAGGTTTTCTAGTGGTTCCTAGAATTTCTAAAAGTAGAATAGGAGGTAGATCTTTTAGTTATCAGGCTCCTCTTCTGTGGAACAAACCAGTTTCAGTCCTTGAGGCAGACACCCTGTCTACTTTTAAGACTAGGCTTAAAACTTTTCTTTTTAAAAAAGCTTATAGTTAGAGGGGCTCAGGTTAGCTATCTCTATATTTATGCTGCTATAGGCTTAGACTGCTGGAGGACATAGTGACCTCTTTTTCATAATTTTGCTTCATTCTATCTCTATTCTCCCACTCTGCAGAATTTGTTAGTTCAATCTCTAACGTTCTGCTCTCTCTGTTTTTTCTCACATTAGCTTTGCCTCGTCTGTTCCTGTTTGGCTGTGACACCATCCTGGAGAGAAATATAGGCTTTGCTGCTGCCATCAACACCTTTGTTTATAGATGTTTTAGATCGGCCTGTTTTTCAGTATAGTCCTGTTTCTGTGACTGTGACTGTCTGGATGTGCTCTCTACTGTCCATCCTCTGACATGGGAGCTGGCCGGTTCTGCTGGAGGTTTACCCACGTTAAAAGGGAGTTTTTTTTCCTCTCCACTGTCGCTACAAGCATGCTTGGTGTGAGGGATTGCCTTCGAGTGAATGAGTCGATGCAATCAACTGGTTTTCCTTAGTTAGAAAACTTTGAATCAAGTGCCTTGAGATGACATGTGTTGTGAATTGGTGCTATATAAATAAATTGAAATGAATGTTACAAAAAATACTTATACAATGCTGTAGTTTCCTAGAGAGAAAAAAACCCCACATTGATAGAAAAGTGAAATAAAAGAAGTCTATTTCTGCTTCAGCACATAGTTCTAGCTCCATGTTTTCAGCCTGATGTAAACTTGACAAACTGCTCTCTAAGCCATGTGTTGCTTCCTACTGACATCCTGCTCAGTGTCATTGTCTGAGCTTTTAGAGTGTCGTCCCTCCATCTGCTCATTCCTGACGGTTTTTCTGCTCAGATAAAAGGGAACTGCCAACTGTGTAAAAAGGAAGAAATCCGCAAGGAAAAAAATGTGTAATATGCATCCAACAGCGTTAATTGCTGAAGAAAGGAGAAATATACGAGGGATGAAATCCTAACCATAAAGATTCATCTTATTTCATCTTTTCCTTTGCAGTATCTCCATCCAACCTAATGTACTTTTACTTTCTGAACTCATTTTTGGCATGTATTCAGTTATTTTAACCACTAATTACTCTGTACCTCAAAACATATTTGTATGGTTATAGAGCAAATCCCTCAGCTCAAAGAGTGTGGCCCTAAGCCAAATTCACTGAGGCTGTCAGTTGTCACCATTCTATCGATGTTGGGTAACAAACAAAAAGCATAAAATGAATCATTTGGGCTGTTAAGGTTATGTAAATACATTGTCAATAAATTAATGCACGCCTGTCTGTTATCATGGGGTTTTATGTACCATTGAATTACCAGAGTTGTGTATGAAAACGTCATTTATTAGACCAATGTTTAGGAAAGATTTTGAACTTATTCTGGCTTTCTTGTATGACTAACCGAACTGAGCAGAGCTGCTCTTGGACACGCTGAACAGTAGACCTGTCTTTAGGTAAAACCATTAACTTTATTAATGCAAATGACCCACAGATTTTTGCCTTGAAGGCAAGAACTTGCTGACTGCTGTGTGTGCAGCTGTGCTTATCTACCAGTCTTTGGGGAGAGTATGTTCCTCTTGCATTAAACCTAAACATAAAAACGGTAAATAAAAGAATCATCCCAAGCAATTGTTATTTATAAATGCTGCTAATCTGTTTCTGCACCCTGTTTCAATTGTAACCTTCTGCAGGCCTGCTGCAGGCAGGGTGTGTCCCCAGATGTCTGTTTCTACTTGCTCTCTTTCCAACTAACATAAAGGTTATTATAACTGAAATAACAGCACAGATGTTGATTTTCATTATTACACGAGTGAAAAATAAATCAGCTTAAACAGCATTTAAAGTGGTAATTATAATTTACAATAAAAGTAAATGTTAAAAAGGCCTATTGAAAAAAAAAATCGAAAAAAGCTTTAAAAAGTGATAATTAAACTGTTATAAACTGGAGAAACTCACTTAGAAATTGTTAGGTATGACATATATATAGATAGTTAACTGGTGTATGTTTTCATACTTTATTTAGTTAAAAAAGAATAATAGGTTTTCTGACTTTTAAGTTAAAAATAGAAGGGGTTAAAATATGAACATGAAACATTTTAGTTTTTATTTTTTCAATGTTTTAATATATACATGTTGTCAATCTATGTGCACGTGTGGAGTTGGTGCTTTATTTCCATGTGCCTGTGCTTTGCTGTGCAAACATGTTTGTACCAGTTTTAAGAGAATTACACTCTGAAGTGAAAGGAGGAAATAGGGATCACTGCAGAGCAACTACATTGAATAATCTCTTCCATATAAGCAACAATCATTGAGAGGATAGTGGAAGTAGAGACTGGTTTCCTGACTTAGAGTGAGGCGAATGATAAAAAGTAGGAAAAACGAAGGGAGCTACGTACATCAGTCAGACAATGAATGGAAAGTAACCCAGAATTTGGATAAAGACAAGCCTTCACACGCTGCAACCATGTACATACTTTTATAGCTATTTCAGGCCAGACAGTCCTTTTCCACATTAAACCTAAAAAAAGTAGCAACCCTGCTATTTTAACTCATACGTCTTGTCTAAATTTAGCTTAAACTGTCCATTTTATAAACACACAGTCTTCATTTAGCAGGCTCTTTATATTTCACTTTTGAACCTTTTTGGCACCTTTTCCACAGTCATGCCCAGGATGTAAGATAAGGAATGTTATAGTAGTCAAAGTGGTGAATAAAGGAAAAAGAAAATAAAGTTTCATATAAAACAATCACTAGTGGCCTTACAATGAACAGAAAAGGCGCTTGAAGGCACTAAGTAGGAGACAAACTTAAACTACCACTTTTCTTCCTTTTTAAGTGAATCAATCAAAGAAAATTCAAAGACCAAGCTTTCTGGTTACCATGGCTGCAATAGCTAATGGCTCTGAATGTCTGACACATTTATTACATTTATTGCCTGACTAAATTCCCATTAAAAGAACATTTTTTTAACCCATATCAGAGTTCACTTTAAGCCGACAAGACACAAACACTACAACAGATAAACGAGGCACCTCATTTGACCATTTTGTTTGGTAAAAGCGTTTCACTTGACTCTTACCTGAGCAGAGGAGTCAAAGCTACGTGGGCCAAGAATGTGGAGCGTCCGGCTCAGCTGGGAGCGGACGATTACCAGGAGCTTTACGTTGGCTGATATGAAAGGCTGAATCTTTCCAGGAGTGGAGGAGAAAAAACTCAAAAGTATTTCTGTCCTTTTAAGTTTGTCCGTCTGTTGCTACAGCCAACATTCCCTGCAAGAAAACAAAGAGAAAGACTTTAGGTCATTCTTTCAAGTTTCTGCAAAAGTTCACATTTTACAAGATATTTTACAGGTCCTTTGCAGAAAACTACTTTTTACTCATATCCCTTACACGTTTCCACTTGTAAATATCATGGTATTTTCCTTTGTCTTTAACTGTATGTGACAGATCAACAATCTGCAAAGTGTGGCATACACTTGCATTCATTTCCTTTTATCTGATAAAAATACATGTGACCGATTATTTCAGAGGTCCCCTACTTTGTAAAAACAGAACAATAAAAAAAGAAAGTGTAAACTAGGGATGGCACCATTCCTCTAATTAAACATGATAGCGGCATTATCATGCTGAGGCTTATCTCCACCAGGAAGAGTCAAACTGATCCAAATTAGATCAGCAGTAAGCCTGTTTAAAGTTGATAACGATACAAAACTGGGGTAGATATTCACCTTTTATTGGGACAGTAACCCTAAACAAACAGTAAGAAATACAAAAAAAGTTTAAATCAAAGCATATCTATGTGTACCTTTTAATACAGGCCAAAACAATAGTTGCCAAGGGGGCATGAAGAAGGAGCTTTTCTTTTTCTTTGTATAAAATATAAAAATCCGTTTTCCCTCAATTCACCTTTTAAGCCACTTTTTGTAGCTTTATTACATAAACCCCCATGAAATACACTGAAGTTTGTGCTTAAAAAGGAGGGGAATAAAACAGAGCTAGCCGTATAAATACATACAAGGCCTAAAACTTCACAGATAATGCTGTTGAGAGTTTAATACCTCCTAAATTCAAAGCATTGAATGCAATAATCAACTTAACCTTCAGCCCAGTATTCACAAAATTATACTTAAAAGAAGCTCAAATTTTACACTTAGATAATATCACATTTTTGCAAAACTTCATAAAAGGTGTGTCAAGATCACTGAACATGAATCATAACTCTTAAGCACATATTCACTTCTATCTCTCTGCCTTTTTATAAGCTTGAAAACCTTTTCCTCATTTTGTAAAACCATTGGACCTGGTAAACTTCCATGCATGTCGTGTCCTACACTATCTCTGTGACTGGTATTCCATTTTTCTGTTGCTCTCTTGCCCTCTCTGAGGAGTATTCAGAGCAACACCCAAGCTATTTATACACTGACGCCCAATCAGCATGGCAACCAGGCTTTGTTTACCCACACGAGACACAGGTTTGAGGCTTGTGTCCTCAATTTCTCCCCCCCAAAAAAACTGTTATTAAGTTCCGTTTAGATCTTTTCATGAACTTGGCTAACTTTGAATAAACATCTCCAATTTCCTTGCAGATACTGGTTTCTTTGGAAATATGTAAACATGTTTGCAGAATTCCACACTGTGTTGCAAAAAGGTGGAGGGAGGATAATTGACCAGATCAGTCCACCTACTCTTTAACAGCTAGCTTCCTGTATGTGTTAGACGTGTACTTGCTCCAACACATGTATAAGAAATGAATGAGTTGCCTCCTCTGAATGTGATCAAACTCTGCAGAGGCCTGGAATTAAATCTGAATTAAAGTAGGAGCTGGTAGTAATGTGTGAAAACAGAAAAACATCTGAAACATAGAGGATAGCTGGCCTTCAGGACTGACTTACTATAACCTTGAACTAAAAATATCTATGGCTACATGTTTACAGCGTTATAGTGTTTTTCTTGGCATTAAAACAGAGAGTCAAAGGTCAAAGGAAATTTTCCTGATTTCTAAAACCTGCAACTGATTTGATGATTGAAATGTTGTGAATAAAGTTGAACGCTCAATAAAAAGAGTTGCTGTTTAGCCTACACCCTCTGAGATTAGGCTTTTTATTAAAAGTTAAAATGTATTTAGATACTATAATTCGACTTTATTCACAACATTTCAGGTTTACTGATTTGGTAAGGAAGAGAGGGGTAAAATTTCTCCCCCAATTTTTGTCCCTCACTTTGGCCTAATGTCGTAGATGCATCATTTGCTTGTTTGAGTTTTGTTTAAGTCTAATAATGCTTAAGCTAACAGTTACATCGCAACCAGACTGCAAATTTTTTTTTACATGTCTTTAGAAAAAAGTGTATTTACGCTTAATTTGGGTTGGTAAATAGATGATCTGACAATGTAATGCATATTTTTACACTTAAAATAAGAGAATTAGATATTATGCCCTTGAAATGAGAGACTGCTGTTGATTTTATTTCGTATTTAAACGTAAATATGAATGTAAAATGCACTTATATTAAGAGAAATTGACTTACTTAGATTTCATTTTTTTGTAGGGCAGTCTATTAATAGCTGTGTTTATAAAAAGTGATTAATACAATATTTGCAGGTAAAAGCACAAGGTACAATTATTTAAAGTATATCACGTATAGACGAGAAGTATTTTTCGCTTCACATAATAAAACTAACTGAATATTTAAATGATAAATGAAGAGCATTTCAACCTCATTCACAAAAGTCCTCTTAATTTATTGTTTTTTGTTTCGTTTTTTACTCTCACACATCTATGCAGCTGTATAGTAATGACGCCTGAGCAGATGAGGGATTCAACTCCCAAAATGTAGCTCTGCTCCATTAATACTATTATAGTTAATTTAACCACACATTAAAACCTAGACAAAATAAAGGGAAAGTATTCTGCTAGCTATGATATTTTAAATAATCATCCTTTTACTACGAAAGTCTAAATCTGGATTAGGAATAATACTGGGCTTAGCAAACTACAGATTTTTTGTGATTATTTTTATGTGCTGATGTGAATTATTTTTTTTTTGCATTATAAGCATTTGAAATAGTAATGCAACCATTTGTTTATATGTTGACTGTACTTACAAGAAAAACATAATACATAAATTCTCATAAAAGACGAACATTTGCTCTCTTTTGTTGCAAGAAGAACATAGAATATCAGTTTTGAGCATATTTATAAAATTAGATTTTTATTCTTCCTGGCCGTATTTTTAAAGGAAACAGAATTAAATGCTACTGATATTTAAATAATGCATACTGTGGTTCTTGTATACTTGTTTTACTATGAAAGAATTACACTGATTTTATGCCAAATTAATATTGATTGGTGTATTTAATAATTAGTTGTTATTTTTATTTTTTTATAACTAACTTTTTGCTTTATTTGTTCCTCCTTCTTGGACAGACTCCCTTGAAAAAAAGGTTTCAATCTTAATGGGACTATCCTAGTTTAACAAAAGTTAAATAAAATAAAGTAAATATTAGTATGCTGTAATTCCACCCAATGCTTAGTTGTACCAGTTTTCCAAGAGGTTAAAATTTTCAAAAATCTGTAATTGTGTTTCCTTAAAGAAAGGCAAGTGTGTGAACCTCCTTTCAGTCAGCTGATCAGCAATTTGCAGCAACAGGTGGGGGGAGAGCCAGCAATGAGCTACTGTATTCTATGCTTTATATAGCAAGAGAGAACTCGGTTATCCTGACACGTTTTCTGGGAGCAGCTTGTAAAACAGTCTTCAAAAAGTTAGTATCAGAAAGATGGACGTTCTGAGCCCAAATAAAACACACTGCAAGTTGAGGCAAAATTTAGAAAATGAAAAGAAGCAAGCATCGCATATGATGTAAAAACCACAAAGATTCAACATATTTATAACACACACACACATATATATATATATATATATACATATATACATATATACATATATACATACATACATACATACATACATACATACATACATACATACATACATATATATATATATAAAAAACGTATATATAATGATTACACTACATAAAAAAAAAAAAATCATATAAACTTTGGAAAGCTTTTTATTTTTAACCTGATTAAATGCTGTAATTGTTGCCTTATAAATGTAAGGTGTGTGGGTTTTTACATTTTTTGCAGACATTTTAAATAAACTCATTAACTTCCAGAATCAGAGTAGTTTCTAACAGCTGTCCTTCCAGTGTCACTTTGGTTTACTGCTGCACAATATCATACTAAGAATGGAGACAGACAGATTGTGCATGAGGGTCAGATTTCAGCACCATGCTGGCACGACACAGCACACTGTTTTTGAATTTGTCGGAAAAATGTTTTTGAAAAAAATTGGAATGACAGCAAGAGTGTTACATAAACAAGCAGATTGTTTTTTTTTTTTTAAAGACTATTTGATATATTGCCCCAGAACCTATAGAACAACTCGGTCACATAAAATGTAAAACATTTGAAAAAGGGGATCGATTTTTGTTTGAAAAACGTTTTGGTAAATTTTTGTTTTCTTATCTAACTTGAGGCCTTTTAAACCAATAAAAAAAAGGAATCCTTCCACAACATCATGCAATAACGTTTTGTGTGATTTTTTCCCCCATAATTCTGGCACAGGTTGATGATATCCTCTCTTAACCCGTATCTTGTCAGAAATCAATATCAGCTTGGCTTAAGCTGAGGGGTCACATCAATACGGAGCAGAGCTTTCACCTGGTTTAACCCTGTCAGTCTGCTTCATGGAAAACATTGGCGTAAATATTGTGAAAAGATGGCTTCCAGGCACCTAGCTCAGTTCGCTGTCACTGTGTGAGGAACTCAACCCTCCTGACAGAATGCTGTGTGCCGGTGCACAACACCCTTTTAGCCTGCAGTAATGTTGCTCTTCTCTCTGTTGTCCCTTCCCTGTCTCAAACAGGAAGGGAAACACCTTCATGTACCCATATACACAGACACATACAGACACTACAACATGTTTGTGTTCATGTAGGAGTGAAATTATTAACCCTAGAAGTAGCAGCATTGCATTGACATTAAAGAGATTAGGGACACTCATTATTTGGAGGAAAATGTTAAATAACATATATGTGCAAGAAAAAAAACTTAAGAAAGTTTTAAGAAACATGTTAAACTTTGGAAAGAACAAAGGGAAACAGATTGTGTAACATTATAATAGGTGTTCTTTTCAATATTTTTTGAAATTTGAGACTTTTAAGCAAGAAAGAGGAATTATCTATTTAGAAACTAATAAAGGTGTTT